CTCCGTGACGGCCCTGTGTGCTGCGGGCCTGGGACTCAGCCCTCCCGTCACCACCGCGCCTTCCCCAAGCAGCTGCTCTGCCAGGCCCTGGGCCGGGCCGGGGACACGCTGGCCCCAACGTCAGCGCTGCCCTCGGGAGCACAGTCGGTGGAGGACTCACACGGGAGCTCGGTAGGAACCGACGGTGACGACTTTCCTGGAGAAAGCTGCGTGCGTGGGGGGTGGGAGCTCAGTGAGGCCCCAGCCCAGCCCCCGGTTGGGGGCCTGGACAGGAGGCACATCTGACCTTGTCTTGACACAGAGCTGAGCGGGGAGGAGGCAGGGAGAGCGCAGAGGCAGGGGTGGTGGGAACAGCTCGGATGGAGCGTGGGCGGAGCACCAGGGCCTCGCTAAGGGAGAAGGTGGGACAGAGAGGGCAGCCGGGTGCCTGGCCGGGGACACAGGGGCTTCTCCCAGCAGCCTGGGCACGTGGCACTCAGGAGAGCGGGCCGCGCAGCCACTGAGGGTGGAGCCCGGGTCCCGCCCAGGCTCCTGGCCTCCAGCCTCAAATTGCGGTGGGGGGTCACAGCTCTGCACCTCCACCCTCAGGCAGGGGGGCCAGGCCTTGGAAACCTCTTAGGAGCAGCCATCTGGGCCAGCAGGAGGGCCCTGCGCACACAGACTTGCCCTGCAGGACAGCAGATGGGCAGCTATCCGCCCCCCTCCCCCCCAGGGGCCCAGAGCAGCCAGTCTGAGAAGCCCCCGCCCCGTCCTACAGGCTCCGCCCTGCGCAGCCCCACACCTGTTACCAAGATGGCGGGAAACCTTAGAATTAACTCTTCAAGTTCATCTGGTGAGAACAGCAAAGAACCGTCAAGAGGGGATCCCATTAGATAGGAACACAAATTATAAACTGACGTCAGGGACTGGGCGACAAGCCAAGCAACAGCTCACAGAGCCGGGCCTCTAAGAGGGGGGTCTCCGCTGTGACGAGGGCACACAGCCAGCAGGAAGGGACGGGACCCCTGAGCCCGGGGTGTTTGCTGAAATAGCTGAGGCAAAGTCCGTTAGAGCCTCCTCCTGCTCACAGGCCAGCAGCTCCAGAAGTGAGCGTATGAACTCGGAGGGAAGAATGGCCACGCAGGCCCCTCTCCTCCGCCCAGCAGCGGCCCGCGCAGCCATGTCGGGGTGTGGGGGTGGACGGGTTTTCGGGTGACACTGGAACACCCTGGCCTTCCCAGCCTCGCGGGGAACAGTGGGGTTTTCAGAGGCTGCGTACGTGTGATCTTGCAAGAGACCACGTGCAGAAGCGGGGTGGCGCCAGCTGTCGCCTCCTAAGCCAGACATTACTTTGCAAACATGACAAGCAACGCCACTCTTCTCGATGCTTTGTTTGGGGAAATGTGCTATTTGCGTGGCATCAGCGAGTTGTTTTTTTAATATATTAAAGTATCCTCCGTTTTATTAGATGATATTCACAAAATCAACTTAAGCAAAACCTCTTTGGGGTCCTCAGTGATTTCAACGGTTCTCAGGGAGTCGGGGGCCCAGGCTTGAGGACGGCCTGTTTACCACCCAGGGATCCCCAGCACCCAGCACCCCCACTTGGGCGACAATCTGACAGGTCCCTGGGCACCTACTATGTGCCGGGGGACGCTGGTGCAGCAGTGACACAGCGTGAACAGGTGAGCAGCCTGCCTGCTACAGGCGGGGGCACAGCGCCGGGAGGGAGTGGGTGGGCCAGAGACAAGGAGTTGGAACTGCAGTAACACACACCCACGGAAGGAAAAGGCCGAAGCGTGCAGCACGGGTGACACACGACAGGTTAATATCTTTAATATACAACGAGCTCATACAGATGCACCAGACCCAGTACTGAGCACGATCGACACCGACAACCCACGAGAGGACACACCTGCCCAGTGGGAAGACGTCAGGCTGCCACACACCAGAGATGCAAACTGAAACCCAGGCTCTCTCCGCATTGAGTCAGCAGTGACTTAGCCGACGGCAGGATGGGCACATCCTCCTGGCTGGTGGCAGTGCCAAGGGGCACTCCTGGAAGCCGTTCTGCCAACGGTGTTCCTCCTGTCATTCTGGTCCCCCCCTCGGAGCCTCCTAAGGAAGTCACGTGACACTGGGGAAAGCCTATGCACGAAGAGGCTCCCCCACTTCTGAGAGTGAGAAATGAGTGACAGCGTGGCCACCGCTGGCCCCCTGCCTCTCCCCCAGGCGGAGCAGCCCAGCCAGTTCAAAGCGAAGGTGGAGCTAACGGGGGAGGGAGCCGGGAGGACAAATACCAAAATGGTCCCATTTCACTTCCCTCTTTCCTCTACCCCAGTTCCCCAAATCCCCAGGATGTGCGTTTGCTGAGAGCTGGCAGGTCACTTGCTTGTGGAGAGGAGTTGGCGACTGAAAGTGAGGAGCTGGGTCCTCCCGTCCCGACTGCGCCTGCGCCGTGCCAACCGCCACCACCAGGGTGTTGGGACCTGAGTGACACGGGAGACGGCAGCTGTTCGGTGGATGGGCCTGCCCTGACCCCAGCCTCCTCCCACCTCCCCCGCCCGCCCTACCTCCCTTCCCGGAGCCCCGCCATCGCTAAGCTTCTGAGCTGGCACTTCCCACGCAGAAGCCACGGTCTCGGAGCTCTCCTCCACTAAGCTCCGCTCACGGCCGGTGGCCCCAGCACGCGTCCCTCATACAATCCCAGGGCCTGCCCCCAGGTACACGCCCACCCTCCCTGCAGTGCCTCCGTGGGCTGTCAGGGTCCTGGCCACCCGGTGAGCCTGTGCACCAGGAGCCTTACCTGCACTCCTGCTCCCGGCTCCCTCCTCCGTGCCCACCTGGCACCGCGAGGTGGGTCCCTGCTTGTCCTGGAGGTCACTGACACGCTGCAGGACTGTTACTCCCCAGGTCACACCATGTCTGAGGCCAGGAGGCCGCCCTCACCTGAGTCCCATCTGGAGGAAACGAAGCTCACTTCCTAGCGGCTCGCGGAGACCAGAGAGCAGTCACCGTGAGAAACACTGCCCCTCAGGCTGACACCAGCTCCCTCACCTGCTCGTTCCCACGGCTGCAGGAAGCAGCCCGGCCACGGAGGGGCCAAGCACCAAGACGCAACGCAATGGAACCAACGGAACCAACGAGGCCGAGCAGCTGCCTGGGCGGGGCACGCCCCACACACAAAGGGCCAGGTGATGGGGGGACGGCCACGGCCCGTCCTGCTGTGAGCAGTATGACTGACAGGACTTGTACAGCACGCCACAGGGTTTCTACAAGCACTCGGTAGACCCGGGGTTGCTGAGAGCAGCGTTCCCGCCCTGCTCCCCTGCTGCGTCTCCTACCCGGGCTGGGCCGGGCACACAGGAACCTTCAAGGTGTGTTACCCCTGTGGGCTTCCTTTTCCCGGGTGCCACTGTACCCCCTCATCGGGGGCCGCCTCTACCTAGCAGACAGGCAGGAGAAAGCTGAGCACTGAGAAAATGACGGGCACACCCTCAGAGGTGCCACCCCGGGAATCGGGGCTCCACTGCAGCCCCCATCATGCTTAATGAGCACCATGTCCCCTGAGCGGCACGGTCGGACTCAGGGGCCTGTGGCCTGTATGCAGGCAGTTGTTGAGCAGGGCAACGGGCTAACGGAGTTTACGGTGAGCGGAAGCCGTGACCACGAACATCAGCAGCCACTGAACGCCCTGGCCTTGCATGGCAGCGGCTGCGTCAGGAGCGGTCACTTTTCCCGGCGTCACCAAAACTCGGAGGAAGTACAGAGGGCCCAGGGCCCGGCCTGGGTGTCCCAAGACCTGTCTCTGGGTGGGTGCAGAGGCTGTTCTGCAGCCAGGCCAGAGCAGGGGCGGAGGAAGCCAGGGTAAGACACCCCCTGACCCCCCACGGTCCAGGTGGCCGTGTGAATGTTAATGTAGTTCATCTGCATCCAAACATGGTGGAGCATCACCACCCAAAGGACCTGGGCGAGCGCCATTTGGCAAGTGATTTCTGGGCGCCCCGTGAGGAAGCGCGAGGCCGTCCCCCGCTGAGGCACGGCTGTCCCTCAGGACTGCGACATGAGTGACAGCCTGCCTGTCAGTGAGGAAGGGGTGTCCCCCAAGGCCCTGCCCAGGTCACGAGGGCCAAGGGCCCCTGCCTGATGCACCCAAGGAAGGAGGTCCAGCTAGGAGCCCGTTTTCTTGGACGAAGACTGGGCAGCTGGTGGACAGCCCCGGCCTGGGGAGGCTCTGGAGACCTGGAGATGCTGTGAGCTGAGGGCTGAGCCGAAGGCCACTTGTCACCTGAGTGGAGAAGGGAACAAGTGACATGGGACAGAGGAGGGGTGACTGCACTAGCGGCTGTGGCGATTCCCACCGGAGGTCCAGGGTGGCAGAATGAGCCCCCCGCGCCCAGCCTCAGCCCGCAGGGGACTGAGCACCATGTGCTGCGCACGACAGCTGACGGAGCTGCCCAGCGGTCCAAGCCACTCTCCTTCCGCCGGCAGCTTCCAGGCTCCGGGAACCCGGTACCACGGGAACACCGGCAGCCGAGCCAGGCATTCGTGGAGGGGCATCCTCCAGGTTCCTCCTCCACCTGCATTTCCGGTCCGTCCCAGTGGCAACAAGGGGGCATACAGACGGCGATTCTAGTGCAAAGTGAAGCGTGCCCCCAGAAGTGCCAGAACCACACTCCCAGGAGGGACCACTCGGCCACCAACGACAGCCCTACCTGCTACACGGGCCCTGGCAGGCCTGCGGCCACTCATGGGTGGGAGGCCAGACTCCCCTGTCCAGGTGCCCACCAGCCTGGCCACAGTGGCTTCCGTCAGTGAGAACAGGCCGCCAGGTGGGGAGCGGCTGTGGGGTCTGCAGAGGCCGGAGCGGGAGCATCGGTGCACTCGGGCTGGGAGGGGTCGGTGGGCCGGAGCATGAAGTGGAGGCCCTGTGACAGGTGTCTGAGCTGTGGTCATGGAGGAGCTGGCGTGGCAAGCATGAGGGGAAGCATGCACCGAGGCTGGGGACACGCTAGCACACATACTAGGAAGGGAGTGGTGCCAGGGCCCAAGGGGCTGAGGGACAGGTCTGGAGAGGCAGGCAGGGGTCTCCGACCAGAACGACACTGCCTAGGGCAACCAGGCGGGTGGCGGCTCTTAAAGGTTCCGAGCGCGGGTGGGCAGGGCCGGCGCTGGTCTTCCTGATCTGCGCGCGCCGCGCCTGCCGCAGCGGGGACTTGTAGGTTCTCCGCAGCTCTGCCAGGAAGCCCTGGTAGTTGTTTCGCAGGGGGCTGTCGGGCTGCATGTGCGGGATGGCCCACTTCTCCGCCTCCCCCGTCAGCCGCGACACCAGGAACGCCACCCGCTCGGCTTCGCCGGGGAAGCGCGCGGCCTGGAAGATCATGAACCTGTCCATCTGCATCAGGAAGCCCGCGAGCTGGCCGGGGTCTCCCGAGAAAGGCTCGGGCAGAGAGGTGGGCGGCGTGGTCATGGGTCGCGTGCCGTTGGAGGTCATGGCCGAGATGGGCGGGGTGATCTGCAGCGCCCCCGGGATCCGAGCCCTGGTGCGCAGCAGGGTCAGCTCCGCCATCACGCTCTCCAGCATGTTGGTGAGGTTCGCCTTCTCCGCCCGCAGGGTGGAGGCCTCCCGCCTCAGCGCCGAGTTGGTGAGGCGCAGGGAGGTCAGGGTGTCGATGACGTCATCCATCTGGGCACCGGTAGCGGCTGCAGGGGCGGGGGTCTCTGCTTTTGACGTCTGGGGTTGGACCATGTTGGCAGAGGTCCGACCTGGAGGGGTGGGAGCGGGGCCTTGGCGTGGGTAACCCGGCACCTGGGGGCCTGTGATCCTAAAACTGGGTAAACCCGGACAGGAGTGCGGGAGCAGGTGGAGTTCACCCCCGGGATGGCGGCAGGGCGGGTGGATCCAGCCCGGGGTGTGCGCACCGCGGCCGGCCGGGCAGGTGCAGGCGGTGCAGGCCTCGGGGAGCCCGA